GAATGTGATGGTCATCATTATACAAAGTACATGTATGAAGACTTGAATTTGGTGTCAGCATACCTTATATACAAACAGAGATATGAAAAATTGTGGTATATATGTGTATTAAAAATTGTAATGCAAAAAAGGTACATGTATAATGGCATAAATTGGCATGAACATACTTTATAAACAGAGATACAGAAATTGTGCTCTATATGTGTAATAAGAATTGTAATGCATTCCACTATTGTCATGTATTTAAGTATATATATATATATATATATATATATATATATATATATATTCCTAATGTTGCTTCCTGGGTCTAGTTCTTGGGTCCCATCCAATGGGGAAATGTGCAACAGAAATGCATATGTAGGTTTTCCAAACACAAAAATGTTCATAGCAATAGAATGCATCACAATCTCCAAATGAAAGTTACTCACATATCTATAAAGAGTGAATAGACAAATAAAACACGTGATGTGTTCAGACAATAAAATACTACATAGCGACACAAATGAACAAAGTTCAAGTGCACGCAGCTCTATAGAACAGTTCCACGGCATAATTTTGAAGGGAAGAAAAAGTCCACAAATAAAAGAGTACATACTGCATGATTCCATATGCATAAAGTCTCAATGAAGGCAAAACTAATATATGGCGTTAGATTCAGGGCAGGGCTTACTTTGGGGGTAGCCATTGGAAGGGGGCCTGAGAGCTTCTGGGTTACTGCAGTATTTTTTCTTGAGTGGACTTCTAATGTGTGTTCTCTTTTTTTTTTCTGTTATAATCAAATAAAGTTTTTAAAAAGTTACCTTTGCCTTCTTGCTACTGCCTAGTCATTGCACCTGTCACTCCTTCTTCATAGTAAAATTCCTTGTAAAAAGCCATCTCCTCAAATCCCCAGAGTCATCCCTAACCCCTCTACTTCTTTCCACACTATAGTGAACCCATCATTACAACCTGCTGGTCCTAATTTTAAAACACACCCCGAGTCTGATGGCGTCTCACCTCTTCCTGAGGACTCAGATACACTCTCCCCCTGGGATTAGTGCGGTGATTGACCCACAGGGCACCCATACGTCTGTCTGTTCTCCACATGGCAAACAGCAGGAATTTTTTTAAGAAATCTAAAATCAGACCACATCTTTCCTATGCTTAACTCCATTCTATTTTATTCCAAATAAAAGCCGGTGTCCTTACATGTCCACACAGGATCTGGCCTCTCAGCTCCTCTCTGACCACCCTCCTCTTTGCTTCCTTTGCTGTAAGCACATCAGCCTCCCCATAGTGGTTGGCATGCTCTTTCTTCAGGAATTTTACACTTTTAGGCCCCTCGGTCTGGAATGACTTTTTAACAAGAACTTCCACCGCACGCTTTCTCACTTCTTTCGTCTTGTTCAAACTTTCACCCTCAATGTAAATTCCCCTGCCCACATACACAAAAATTGCAACCTTCTTTTCCCTTCCCTTGCATATTTTGCTTCATAGTAATTACTACCACCTCACACTCGACATATTTTATGGATTTGTTATTGCATGTCTAGTCTCTCTTGATCATAAGCTACATACACTAACGCACTCACTACAGCCTCCTGAGATTTTTCAGCTCTGATTTGTCAATTTGCAAATAGAAAGTTACTTAACCGTTTTCTTTCATGATTTTTATGTGGTGCTGAGTATCGAACCCAGGGCCTCACGTGTGCTAGGCGAGAGCTCTACCACTCAGCCACAACTCCAGCCCCCATATTTTATTTTTAATCCTTCCCCACCCATTGGCCTCCTTCAGCCAGGTTTTCTTTCACAAATGGCCTGACTATCTACTCTGTTTCTCAAATCAGAAATTTCAGAGTCGTTCTTGATGCCTTCCTCTACCTCACTAACTCATTCAGTTTGGAAACCACTTAGCCAAGAACCATTAACAGGAAGGTCTAATGAGATCGTGGCAAGAAAGGATGGTTTCAACCAAGTCCAAGAAGATACAGCAGATGGTTGATACATTTATTAGAACTATACATACACTGAACCTCTGAGTTCTGATTCTGGATTTTAAAAAGAAAATGCAGGTTTCCCAAAAAGGTAAACCAAAATAGCAACGGAATCACAGAGGCTCAGATCCTTGTCACAGCCTGTCCAGTCCTTACCCTCCTCTAGCCAACCATCACTTGAATAATTTCCTTATTGGCCTCTGGAAGCAAGCAGCCATGTTGAAGGATCAAAGGACTGAGGACATCCTCAGGACTGAGGACAGTCTCTAATTTCCAGGCAACAACTCAGGGCCCTTAGTCACCTACCATAAGGAAACGGATCCTGCTAAGAACCCAAATGTTTTTGCACGTAGTAGGTTTTTCCCAATTAAACCTCCAGACGAAAATACAGCCTGCTAGTACCTGGCAGAGCCACCCAGCTAAGCCATGCCTCAACTCCTAAGCCACACCAATGTTAAAAACTGTGTTGTTTTTAGGTCATTGAATTCGTAGAAATTAGTCATAAAGTAATAAAAATGTAAGACTCACTGGGTTATTTCCTGGAATCTGAAGACAATAAAAGTTCACCTTTCAATCATGTTCCAATTTCAGCTCCCCCACTTACCAGCAGTAATGTCCTCTTGGTTTCCGTGTTTTTAAATGGCTCTGATGACAGAAACTGCCTCCCAAGGGTGTTGGGAGGGTGACATGGTAGCACAGGCAGAAAGGTAAGTTATTTAAAGCAGTGTAGCTGGGTATTAAGCGTTGGCACATTAATGCTCTTTATCAAACTCAAGGAAGGGTGGTCTAGTGCAGTCAGAAAGCAGGAGAAAACACCATTTCAACCAAAGACCAGCACCGTCCTTGTAGTTGTCCATGAAGACGCTCCCACTTCACCTCTCCGTAAATAACTTAACTCCTGCCTATGGTCTGAGTCTCCAGATTGAAATAGCAGAGGGTCCATCTTTAAGGGGATTGAAAGACCAGAGGAACAGGTGGAGCTGAAAACCATAACCTAGTCAAAGACATAAAATTAGATGCATTTTGGAGTACCCAAGATAGATTTATAGGCTTTTACTGCTTAACAGCAAGAATTTATTCCTCCAAATCAGGTATTCTGCAGGAAGACAGATCTTTCCCATCAGTTTGAAGGATTTCTTATATTCTTTTAAAGAATTCTTGCATACATTTTAAAGAATGCTTACATTCGGTTTAAAGAACATCTTATATTCTTATAAGAATATGTATATTTATATATACACACATACCTATATGCTATTATTCAACTCAATCTCCCATCCAGTTTCCTAACATGTAAGTAAGATATCTATATGTGAATAATAAATAAACATGTCAAGTTAGAAAATGCTTAAAGGATAATTCTCTGATCACCAAATAAGCACAATGGCTGGTCAGGAACATGTGGCTTGGTAGCAGTAGGTGGCTACAGCCCCTCCCGGGTGCACTTTTCCATGTGATTTTTGACAGTTTATTCATTCTGCTTAGACTTCAAATATAAAGTTGGCCCACAATTTTCTTTTTTTTTTTTTAGTTTAAAATGTTGCACTGCACCTTAAGAACACAAATTAAAATTTACCTGAATAAACATGGGCAGAAAAATTATGTATGGAGTAATACTTATCTTTTCTGAAATCTGGGTGTAGAAAGCAAAGACATATTCCATCAAGGGGAAGGAAAAAAGTACGGAGGAAATACTTCAAAGATTTCTATATAGCAAACATTCTCAACCAGCAGGAATTTTGTCTCCAAGAGACTTTGACAATGTTTGGAGAAAAGTTTGGGTTGCTACTACTGGGGCATTATTAGCTTCTAATGAGTAGAGGCCAGGGATGCTGTTTATGCCTCACAATACCCGGAACAACTCTCTACCATAGAGAATGATTGGTTCCAAATAGCAGCAAGTGCAAAGGTTGAGAAATCTTGGTATCTACCATTGCCGCAGCTAAGGAATACTTAAGATTATATTTGTATATATTGTTTTTGGTTATGTGAAACCATTTTCTTTCACGATTTAGTCATTAAAACCATAACAGTTATAGGAACATAAAGAACTGACAGGGAAAGCAAACTTTCAAATAGCACATTATGTTGCTTCAATTAGTATTTGTATAGACTACCCAGGAAGAACTTAAATCAAATTAGTTTACGAGTCTTTCTAAAAGTGAAAATATTCTCTATTAAAGTGATAACTCTATCTGGTAGCTTCTTTTACTGGTGATTTTTCACTTAACTTGAAAATGCAAAGAAAGTAAATCTTAAATGTTCTCACCACAAGGGAAAAAAAACAATGTCAGTTGATGGCTATGGGAATGAGCTTGAGGGTGATCATTCTTCAATGCAGGCGTATGTCAAAACATCACACTTACCCCATAAACATGTATAATTCTTGTCAATTATACCTCAATAAAAGCAGGAAAAAATAGAGTCACAGTTCAGTACTGAAGTACATGGTTAGACCATTAGACAATTATCAACTGAAAGTGGGAAACTCTTCTTGAAGGAGAATGGAAGCCTGATAAGGTAGTAACAATAGATTTTGGACTCAGAGAAGTAGATTTTGCCTCCTTTTACTATCCCTTAGTATGTAGCCTTGAGCAACTTAACCTCTCTATTCTCAGTGTTAGCTCCGTAGAACTATTAGAAGAATAAACACTAATGCAGGTTAAAACAAAACCAACTCTTGGGTGCCTGAAACACAGTGGATATGCCACAGGTCACAAACTTATATAAGTACAAGCCCTTGTTTTTGCATAAAGCGTCTATTTTGAGGTTACTATGTGTTTATAAACAAATGGACCCGAGAAAAAGCTTTCTTAAAAACTGTTTCCTTCTCCAAGAAGATAATGGGGCTGGCTATGTTCTAGAATCCTAAGATTCTATGACTCAGAGACTGAGCCTCTGAGGTTCTAGTATCTGGGCACAGTAGTCTCCCAGGGCTCCTTACTGTGGACTCCATGTGACACCGGTGGGGAAGGTGTGGCTGCAATGTTCACTCAATCTCTTCATGCGTTCGACCACTGAACCATGGGGGAGTCATCCCAGGAGAGAAGAGGGGCCGATGTCATCACTGTACACCCACACGAAACTGTATTGGCAGCACTTCCCTTCGGGCCTCATGTCTCTCTGCTGGATTTCCTAAAGGGAGAGCCAAAAATCTTGGGGGTAAGCTTTCTTCCATCCTGGGTCTTCCTGATGAGGAGAAAAGAGTCCATTCTCCATGTACATCTGCAGAGGCATCATTGTGTGATGATTTCAAGGAGGGAGTCCATTCTGTTTTGTCTTTCCTCCCTCATCCTTCACCTTGGTGTATCCTTCTTGTTGAGTCTTGAGCAGTGCTTCTAGGGCATTTGCTTGTATAAGGATTTGGATGGCCAAAATATATCGTTATGTTATGCACACGCACATAACAACAAATCTTATCATTACGTGCAACTATAATGCACCAAGTAAATAAGAGTGGAAAGAAAACTAAATTAACTAATTAGTGAATTAATTATTTTGAAAAAGAATTGGATCATCAGCATAAGAACCAACATGTAGTCAATATATTTTGATAAATATGCAAAATAAAACTTCTATTTCAAAACACACAGTTTGTCTCAGGTCTTAGAAATGTTTTTGAGGGTTTATTTAACTCTGAGAAACAGGTCTTTAATTAACAATCTGTCTGAGAGGAGAGAAGTTTGTGTTACCAGGGAATCCAGGAAATAATAAATAAACACCTCTAGTCCTGAGAAACCCCAGAGCTATTTCATGAGGAGTTGGTACTGGTCTTTGAATCCTAGCAGAGGGGAAGCAGGACATAAATGCAATTTTTCTAAACATTCCTTGAGGAAGTGACCTTAGTGTGTGGTGGTGACCATCTCCCTGGGAGTGAAGAAGCCATTAGAGGAGAGGTTAGACTTCCCTTTGTGCTTGTATAGGTGTCAGGAGTCCTTTGAAATCTTTATTCAAAGCTCTACAGTGAGATACAGATAAACATACCCACAAGGAAAAAAATCTTCATCATAAACACACCCGGGGAGAGTTGCATACATAGCCATATCCTTGTCCAATAGTAAAGTCACTAAAGTGTGCTGCCAGAGAGGTATGGCCTGGGCACAAAACCACAAATAGTAGCAAAGAAGTTTGACCCCAAGAGGAGCCACTGCCCCTCTAAGACCACCATGGTATCCATCTCTCTGCATGTGCCTGACAGGCTGAGTGGGTTATAATGACCTCTAGCCAGGCCCCTGGATGAAAGGGTGAGAAGACACCACATCACCCCAGTACATTCCACAAACTTTCAGGAAACAGGGATGAGTCGAACTCCAAAAGCATATACAAATGGCCCTTTGATACCTTCAGATCCACAATCACAGATTCAGCCAGCCAGGGATTGAAAATACTCTGAAAAGAAAACCATGCTTGTGCTGAACCAGTGGACTCTCTTTCTTGCTGTCCCCTAAACCATAAAGCATGACAACTATGTATATAGCATTCCTAAGTAACCTAGAGATGACGAAGGCACACAGGAGGAGGGTGCAGGTTATCTGCAAATGATACATATTTTACCTCAGGGACCTGAGTGTCTTCGCATGATGGTGTCTCAGGTGTCCTGGAACCAATTTCCCATGGATACCAAGAGATCACTGTATTTAATGTGTGAAAAAATGTGAAAGGGCAGATGGTAAGGAAAATCATACGCTCTCCTGCTACAGATGGGAGAATGCTTAAAGTAAACAGTTTGAAGTCCGTGTCCTCAAAGAGTGTTCAGTGTAGCTTTGGTCAGACATGTGCTCCAATCTGTCTGAGAGGAGAGAAGTTTGTGTTACCAGGGAATCCAGGAAATAATAAAGGACACGAGTGATGGATTTGATTCCCAAGGACTCAGGCAAGAATGACGGGGGCAGTGGGGATGATTGAGCTGAGCCTCCTGGGCACCTGAGGGCGGGGGGCAATTACAGAGAAAGGTATTCAGAGGAGGGAAGTGCCCTGTGGCTCAGGGACAGACCAGAGGGGCGGGGCACTGGTAACCTCAGGTACCTTTTTTCTTCACAGGGTATCCAGATCTTGCTTGCTCTGATCATGGTGGGCCTTGGAACTGTACTTCTATTTGGTTACATCAGTTTATCTAAAATATTCCCCCTCGTTTTCCTCTCGGGATATCCGTTCTGGGGAGCATTTATTGTGAGTACTGTGGATTAGGATCTTTGGAGAAATGGTTATAAAGTGTGACCTGAAGTTATTCAAGTCCTAGGATAATGGATTTCAGAAAAAAAATATGTCCCCTCCCTACCCCCAGAAGACCATAAAAGGCAAGTGCCCACCACGACAAAGAAAATGACTCCATTTGGACATTGTGCTTCCATTATCACAGGAATAACAAACCCCACCCCCAGGTGTTCACTGCTTACATTTCGAAAGCCCGTGGGTGTATAATAACATCATTTGCTCCTCACTTCAGATCTGGGAGGTTAAATGAAAAAAATATCTTACTTTTTCCTTTGCAAATGGAGAAACTCAGTTTGAGATGAGGTACTAATCCAAACATTTATAGCTGGTGCTCTTAGAATCACAGACTCTCATAGCTTAAGGAGAATTTAAGATTATTAGAGCTGAACCTCCTTCTTGGCCCCAGAGACAACATTATGAATGCTACTCGTGGAAGTAATCCTAGAGATATCAATAATATTCTGAGTATATTATAGCTACCTCTAACCAATCTCCACAGCTGTGGTTCCCAATCTTGCACCACATGGTTAAAGACAGAACCACTAGAGCTTCGACACTGGGATATAGGTTCAAAGAGAGCAAGAACATTGTCCATTTCACTTCTTGTTATATTCTCAGAATCTAGAATGTTGCTTAAGGCAAAATATGCATACATGAATGAGTGACTAAATGAATCAGTCAATGAACAGATGAAATAAGGAAAAAATGAGACCAGTGTGTATTGGAAAGCCATGCTCTCTCTTTTAAAAAATTTTTTATTTGTTTTAATTAGTTATACATGACAGTAGAATACATTTATGCACTTTGATATATCATACATAGATGGGATATAATTTCTCATTTTCCTGAGTATAGGTGTTGCAGAATCATATTGGCCATGCAGTCACATATGTGCATACAGTAATAATGTCTGTTTCATTCTACTATCTTTCCTATCCCCACATCCCCTCTCCTCCCCTCCCATCACTTTCTTCTACCTAATCTAAGATAACACTATTCTTCCCTAGTGGCTCCCCCTTATTGTGAATTAGCATCCACATATGAGAGAAAATATTCAGCCTTTGGTTTTGTGGGATTGGCTTATTTCACTTAGCATGATATTCTCCAACTCCAACCATTTACTGGCAAATGCCATAATTTCACTCTTCTTTAAAGCTGAGTAATATTCCATTGAGTAAATATACTACATTTTCTTTATCCATTCATCTACTGAGGGACACCTAGGTTGGTTCCATAGTCTAGCTACTGTGAATTGAGTTCCTATGAACTTTCATGTGGATACATCACTATAAAATGCTTATTTTAAGTCCCTTGAGTATAAACCAAGGAGTGGAATGGCTGGGTCAAATGATGGTTCCATTCCCAATTTTCTGAGGAATCTCCATACTGCTTTCTGTAGTGGTTGCACCAATGTGCAGTCCTATCAGCAATGTATGAGTGTACCTTTTTCACCACATCCTCACCAAAATTTATTGTTGCCTGTATTCTTGATGATTGCCATTCTTACAGGAGTGAGATGAAATCTTAAGAGTACTTTTGATTTGCATTTCTCTAATTGCCAGAGATATTGAACACTTTTTTCAAATATTTGTTGATAAATTGTATTTCTTCTTGTGTGAAGTGTCTGTTCAGTTCCTTAGCCCACTTATTGATAGGGTTATTTGTGCTTTTGGTGTTTTTTTGAGTTCTTCATATATCCTAGAGATTATTGCTTTATCAGAGGTGCATGTGGTAAAGACTTTCTCCCAATCTGTAGGCTCTCTCCTCATGTTATTAGTTGTTTCCTTTGCTGGGAAGAAGATTTTTAATTTGAATCCATCTCATTTATTGATTCTTGATTTTACTTCTTGCGTCTTAGGAGTCTTCTTCAGGAAGTCAGATCCTAGGCCAACAGGATAAAGATTTGGGCCTATTTTTTTCTTCTATTAGCCACAGGGTCTCTGTTCTAGTGCCTAAGTCTTTGATTCACCTCGAGTTGATTTTTATGCAGGGTGAGAGAGGTTTAATTTCATTTTGCTATATATGGATTTCCAGTTTTGCTAGCCATTTGTTGAATAGGCTTTCCTTTCTCCAGTGAATGTTTTTGGCATCCTTGTCTAGTTTTGATAAGCATAAACACAACATGCCTTTTCCGTCATTGGCATTTCAGAAATGACTGGTCATGTTCTCACTTTCCCAACACAAACAATATGATGTTGGGCATGCTTTTCAAACCACATATGTTCTACTGCAGAAAATCAAAGGGACCAGCTCCCCACTTCCCCATTGCACAACAGAATTCCGGGAGACTCCGTATAATCTGCACACATGAATTGCAATGAGGTTTTGGCCTGCTGTCCTTTAAATATCCACTCTGCATGGGAAAAAGGTTTTCTGAACACATAACTGTCTTCTTCGTAGTGCAAAAGTTAGAGAGGTGGCATAGGTTATTACATTTGTGCTCAATGCTCTAAGAGAATTCCCAGGAGCTAGGGGAGGTTTTAGTGGAGAAATCATCTGACCTGGGGATACCAGGTGCTTTCCACACCGGTACTCACTGCTGAAATTGAAGAAAAGTGTTCCCGGGTAACAAAAAAGCATGACCTGAGAGCTTGAGGTCAGGAAATCACCCAAAAGAAGACCAAGAGTTATGGTTGTCCCGCCCAACTGAGGCCACACAGAAGCTGGAGTCAGGCTGTGTCCGCTCTTGTGGTCAGGTTAAGGATGGAAACTTCAATATGGAGAGGAAGGAAAATCCACTGGTTATTCTGAAAGGGCAGGGACATTTGCAGATATGATTGTGTTTTCTTAATGGGAAATGAATCCAAGAATGATAACAGCAAACCTGGGAGAATCAGTTAAGTGGAGGTTGCAGTAATTCAGCAAGGGAAGATGGTACCCTGAAGTAGCTGAACAGCAGAGGAGATAAGGACAGACAAACAGCTTGGAGGAGAACTTGGAGGCAAAGCTGGCAGCTCTTGGAAATCTTATGGGGATGGGGGTGAAGCAGAGGAAGGCACCAAGGTGATTTTCTTATCTCATGGACCTTGGACTGTAAGATCCAGGTAATCTCACGGGACAATGTTAATTCCCACAGAGGAGGTTCTCATCCTCTGAGCATTAAAACAATAAGGGTCTCCACCCTGGGCGGCAGAGTTCTCACTTTTCCTGGGTGGTACTAGACTCTTCATGCTTCTGAAAATTAAAAAAGTGGCTGGGTTGATTATACTAGGTTTCAGTCTCCATAAGAGCAATTAGGGGGTCTTTTCTGAGAAAATCTCCCTTGATACTCAGAACACACACAGCCTCTCCTCCCCTCTTCCAGGCCCAAAGTCCAGGAATTCCTTTCTTTTCTGAGACCAGCTGAGCCAAATATCTGTGTGGTGTCTTCTGAGCCTGCTTCTTCCAGATCACTCTGGCAGAGAGCCTGTGTGGGTACTGAGCAAGTCCACCATGGATTACGCTTACATTGGTACCTATCCCCCATCTCCTTAACACTCAGGTGGAAAGACTGTATTGTCTGGGAGATTCACAGACAAATAGTTGGTAAAACCAAAGGAAATTGGATTGTAAAGTGGTCAGATACATCACCTGTTAACTTTTGTCTCCTGTCTTCTTGACAGTTTTTTCTTACAGGAAGTGTCACAGTAATCAATGAGAAATTAAAAAATACCCAGGTAAGTCACTTTTGTGATTTCTATGTAATTTATCTTCTATTTGCTTCTTTCTTGTAAATATTTCTAGTATTGAGATGTGTCTCAGGAAGATATTTATACATCAAACTTGCAATTTCCATCATTCCTATTTGTCAATGCCACCACTTAGTCCCACATTCGTATACTAGCTAACATTTCTCTGATCAAGTAAATTCAAAATGTTGATTAATGGAGATCATTTTATACCCATGTAACTAAATGGTTCTTAACTGGAAGTAATTTTGTCCTTTCTCCACCCCCAGGAAATATTTCACAATGTCTGAAGACATTTTGGGTTGTCCAAACTGGGTAGGGGTACCATTAGCATCTAAGAGGTAGAAGCCAGGGTTAGTGTCTGAGTGTCCCCAAAATGTCTAGGAAGCCTCCCATGTCAAAAAAAAAAAAAAAGACTAAAAATTCTACAGCACCAAGATTGAGAAACCTTTCTCCAACCAAACCAACCAAGGAACCCAGTAATTCCCCGCTTTCCAACCCCAACTCCACCTCCTATACGAACAGAGACTTTTCCTTCAGGATTGCCCGGGGTCCAGAGGTAAGGGTTTGGGCATTGATGCTGCATGATTCTAGGACTGAATCAAGGCACCCCACCCATGGCTGTGTCAGCTTGAAAGGAAAAGTACCAACTTCTAGGGTTGTTTGTTCTGTTTTTGTTTGTTTGTTTAGGGTTAACTAGGATTTAGTTAAAGGCATGCTGATACTGAATTTTCCTCTTCTTCCCCTCTAACCACTCTGATCTTATTTAAAGTCCTGAAGATGTGGGCTTCGCTTAAAGCCATCTTATCTCTGTTCTTATGGTTCTCCACCAACTTCCTATGGGAAGAGTTATAAGCCATAGAGAAGTCCTAGGGGGATGAACACCCCCCATCTCTTCCTGTGGAAATAAACACTAGCAATGCACTGAAGTTCCACGTGCTGTTCTCTTCTCTCAGTCTTGACTTATGTCCAGAGCTGAGAACTATATTAAGGTGAAGGTAAACTTATGGCTGACTCAAGGAGAGCTATGCAGATGGCAGGGCATGGGATGGCATGGGGGGCATCAGAGGACCTGGCTCTTCTATCAGTGAGATTACTCACAATCACTTAATTCTGAATCTCATTCATCTGTAAAATGGGAATGAGAGATGCAGCACCTTACACTGCAAACCTGTAATAAGGATCAGATGAGACTCGAACTGGGTATGCTCTTTACAAAGCACAATACACATAAGGGTTTGCATATCCAGAGACCTCAGTCTATGAACTATCATATGAGAGACAAAGAGAGAATGGAGAGCCTGGAGAGAATGGAGAAATGAAATTTGGGAGAGATGGCATATCTGTATGCCCCTTTGCATTTTCTACCAAAATAAAAAAAAAGTTCACTTGCAATAAAAATGACTTGGTAGACATGAAGTCATAAGTATGCTTTCAAATCTTGCCACACTAAGCCCCAGGAAGGGCATGATGTATAAGCGTATCAGCATTTCCCACCACAGCAGACACACACAATGCTATGAATACAGACACAGGAAATATCTGCCACATTTAAAATGAAAGTTTTGTTTTGGCCTTTAAAGGAACAAGATCAGTGCTGAGAGTGGGTTTGAAGAAAAGAATAAGATGCCCTCCTTTCTTTTGAAGGAACTCAAACGTATATGTATATCTCCTCCTCCCTCTCCAAAAATAATGGGCTTGAATAAAAGGAATTGAACTTTGTATTCCTTCCATATCCGACACTGAGATCAACAAAGGACATCTTTAAATCCCAGTTCAAACCATCTTCAAATATATGTTAGTGATTTAGTGGGTTATGTTTGAATCTTGTGGAGATTTCCATGTAAGCCCCATGATCTTTTGATCTCTGCAGCCTGACACATATTTGGATCACACTAAATGTTTATGAAATAAATGAATAAATGCATACTACTGTAAAGGTAGGCAATGTAATTCTCATTTTAAAAGGTAGAAATTGAAATTCCAAGAGACTAAGTAATTCGTACAAGGTTCTTACAAAATGAGGATCCAAAATCAAGTCTAATTTCCAAGTTGAGATATTTTCTAATACACTACACCACTCAGAGATTATGAATGATGATTTACTGAGATAAAATGACCATTTTATTCAACATAAACATAGAATATATCCTTGACTGATTCTAAAATTGATTCATCTTCTGACTTTGATGAATCAGAATTTATCTTATCAACCTTTCCTATCACCCTGACCTGCTAGAGTAATTCATCCCTGAGAGGTGTCTAGAAAGTGAAAACCACGAAGAGTTTCTTCCAAGGTGTTTTTGGTTTGATTGGGTTTTTATTTATTTTGTTACTTTTTAAACTGCTTTCCAGATCCCAGGTATCGTTACCATGAATGTCATCAGTTCCGCGGTGGCAGTGACCGGGATTGCTCTCATCCTCATCAGCTTCACACACCAACACAAGTTCTGCCAGATGCTTTCCCTTGATGGATCATGTGTCCTCGGTAAAACATTTTTCATTGTAAGTGATCTCATTTTGAATGAAGGCTGTTCAATCTTATCTGAGCTGAGTCCATGATGCAACCATGCATTGATTTTTATCTATTTATTTTTTGGAGGTTATGGGGTACCAAAGATTGAACTCAGGGGCACTCCACCACTGAGCCACATCCCCAGCCCTATTTTGCATTTTATTTAGAGACAGGGTCTCACTGAGTTGCTTAGCACCTCACTTTTGCTGAGGCTGGCTTTGAACTTTCGATCCTCCAGCCTCAACCTCAACCTGGGATTACAGGCATGCTCCACCAAACTGGGCTGATGCACTGATTTTTATCACAATAATTGAAACAGTGCCAACACTTGAACTGACCTTTGAGAGCAATGGTCAACTGACCCATCCCACACTGTGGGATGACGGTTAAGATGATTTATGATCAAATGTCTCTGGATTTTTAACTGTGGCTTTATTTCATGTAAGCCTATGACCTTGATCTAAAACGGTATTCTCTCTGAGTCTCAGTGTTTCTCATGTGGAAAATGAAGATAATAATGCCACCGTATGGAATTGTTATGAAGATTACTTAAAATAGTACCTAGTGCAGTGGCGATGGTCAATCATTTTAGGTATTACAATTATCATTTAACATCAATTGGATTCAATTTTGCCTTTTTAAAAGATTTATTTTTTCATCATTAATATAGAACAAAAATGATGAAAAAAATTTACTAAGTGAACAATAAAAACAAAAAGCAGTTTAAAAAGCGGGGTATTTGAAGAGTGTTAGGATATACACGGTTTTATATAATTTGCAAGAATTTTATTTAATAAGGCAAATGAGATATATCCTTACCAAGAAACAGAGATACAATTTAAAATATTTACCTCATAAATAATTAACGGGATTATTTTTAACCATGTCAAGATTCCAATAGGCCTTTCCCTGCAGTTTCTCAGGTAAGTCCTGAGAGTTCATCTTATCTCCACCAGCTGCGACGTGAAGGTTTGGGACTTAGAAAGTTAAGGAGACTGGAACAAGTTAGGATGCAAGTGGAGTAATGCCATTGGAAGCTATCTTCCTCCCTAAGGAAGGAAAGAAAAAGCCATCCATTACTGAATGCAAGATCTTGGCCTAGTGGGTTTAGCTGTCACTGGATTGCTTTCCTCCCGGTTCTCCTACTTGGGATCAATCCGGGGCCATCACGACTTGTGTGAGGCCTATTCTGAGAATACCAAGCAGAGAGGAGGAGCCCAAATTAAGGAGAATCTGAGACACGCTGATGGGATTGAGGCTCTCTGATTCAGAGAGAAGGTAGGAGCTGCGGGCGTTCAAACTGATTCCAGAGGCGCTTGAGCGAAGTGCGCATGCTCCGACTCATAATTCAAAGAACCCTTTTCTGAAAGATACTTTGCTACCCTGAGGGAATCCAGGCAATGAGATTCCAGCCAAAAAGATTCGTATCAAGGAATTGACTCTCAGAGATAATGGGAAAAGACGTGGATCTTGGAAGATAATTATTCTAAATATTCAGGGAAAGACTAAAATTAAAGGTTGTTTTTCTTAGAGCACATCATTCATCATGTTTGAAGATTTATATGTAATAAGAACTTAACTCTTTGAAGACTTCAACATTATTGAAATGAAAAAAGGAGTCACAATTCTCAAAAGAATATTTTTGGACCATCTATAAATCCTAATTTGTTCTTCATTAAATTATCTTAAAACATTTTTCTATCGTTGTCAAGTAATTTGGTCTTGAAACTAGCACTCTTTGAGAGAAGCTTTGTTTTTATTTGGTCCAGGACAAAACTTGTTTAATAGTTCTCAATAAAGGATTAAATGTTGACGTTTGTGAAATAAGGATTTATTTTTCTTTTTAGATACAGGTAGTCTTAATATGCACAAGTATCAGTTACCATAGTAAGTGCTTAAAATTTTAGTTACCATAGTAGTAACTGAAAATAGTTATATGAATTTTGCTGCTAGCTCTTTAGTTCACGAATTATTTTGCAAATAAAGGATGTACATCAGATCTCAGAGATCAGCCACTTTGCTTCCTTCAAAGGCTGATAGTGATTGGTCACTGAAAATTTATTTAGTTCACTTGCAGAGAGCAAAGTGCAAGTTTTAGTGCCTTCTCGTCTCCCAGAGACTAAACTCATTTGACAGTTTATAGAAATGGATACTCCAAAGAAGAAATTGGTCAACAAAGATAGCAGAGCACAAAGAAATGAAAATTAATAACGCTGGAAGTGAACCTGGATGTCATTAGAAGATTCAAAAGTGGCAACTGCAAAGCAGAGACAGTTGAGATCTGGGCCTGCAGGAAGCTATTGTGGGAACGATATTGAAAGTATAGGTAGTTGCTTCCATATCTTAATTTAAATTGTGCTAGGAACAGGAAGCCATTGACAGCCAAAATTGAAGACTAATCAAAAAACAGATCCCAGTTTGGTTAGCTAGCGTTCAGACCCAAACACTGGGGTTAGCTGTTGCACTGAAAGAAAGTGGTAATTACAATGAAACTGAAAATGAGATTTTTACTTCCAGTAAAAACTGGTTTCATTATTTCAGAAGTCCGCATGAATTGATTAATATTAATCTATTTGGTAAAGCTACAAGTTCAGATAAAGGCACTACTATGAAATTTACACCCAGATTCTAAGATACAGGCATTTCTACTGTCCAAAAAATTCTGGAGGATTCAAATGCAGTGTTCTAGAAGATAGAGTGGGCTGGGAAGGAATTATGATACTGCTGCTGTTCAAGAGGCCGTTCTAGAAAAGACAGAGAAACTTAGTGAAGGTGAACCTATTGGCATAAATGATAAAAGTGGTTGTAACAAAAGATGAACATACCTCAGAGGAAGTGATGCCAATAAAAACCCTTCACATCAAACCCTCAGAGATATTTCAAGACCTTGAAAGCAAAACTGATAAAAATTTGGGGCTCCTATGCCAAGGCATAGGAAAGATGTTCACTGCTTATTATAAGTAAGATGAAGGCAAATACTGTTTAAACTACTCTTGATAAATTATTTACATTTTTTAAAACACTGTAATTTATAGATTTTAATGTTTTAACTTACAGTGAACTAAATACTAGTTTTACATTACAAAAAAGTTACATTATAATGTTTTTACATTTAATATCAACATCAAGAATTTAATTTTTATCTGTTTTTTTCTCTTTAATTTTTATTTTTTGTTCTTTTTAGTTATACATGATAGTTGAGTATAATTTAACTTATTTATACACAAATGGAATACATCTTATTCTAATTAGGATCCCAGTATTGTGGTTATACATGACATAGAGATTCACTGTAGTGTATTCATATATGTACATAGGAAAGTCATGATAGAATCATTCCACTTTCTCTCCTATTCCTTTCCCCTCCCCACTTCCCTCTGGAAGAATTAATTTTTGACCTAATTTTAAGGTCACAGAACAATCATACATTTTCCCAAAGACTTAGATTGCATTGCGCCTGCATTTTAAAAAATTATATATATATATATATATATATATATATATATCCTATCTACTATTCTGTAATTTCTTGCTGCACACACCAGCCACTTCCTGCAGTCTCACTCACCCAGGATCATAAGACCAGCTTCTTCCTGCTTTGAATGGTTCCAGTCTAGTGTTCACCCTGTTCCATCTACCTAATAAACTCACCTTCAGACTTAAATCTCAGTTCAATCATCATTTATTTAAAGAAGTCCTTCTTTACCACACCTCCACTCTCAGACCTGGTCACATATTCCCTTATAACCGTGTATGACCCACCATACTTCTCATAGAACCCACTACAATTTACTCAAGCAATTATCTAATTAATTATTAGCATTTGCCTCCTTTGCAACTATGCAAGTTTCATAAAACCAGGATCAAATCTCTCATGGTCCATCACTGAACCCAATAACTTACATGCAGTAGGGATGTAGCTCAGTGGTAGAATGCTTGCCTACAATGCATTGAGACCCTGGGTTAAATCCTTAGCACCACATACCAAAAAAAATTGTATATAGTAGGATCTTCATCCATTTGAATTTTATAAACAAATAGTAAATATCTAATCGTTGGGATATATTGCAAGGATACCAAGATTCAGAGAGGTTCAGTCACTTGCCCAAGGGGAAGTGTAACCTTGCGCCCAGTTTTTCTTTCTCAAGAGATTAAACTTTTTGATGCCATACTCCACTATGCTGCCTCTCAATCTAAACATCCCCTTAAAGGGAAGTGTGTAAAATGTTGATTTTTGAGCATACTCAGCCTGCAGATGTGTTTTCTGTGACTGACACCAGTGAACAAATAACTGGAAAATCATTTCACTTCAAAAAGTGTGTATATATAGCTTCCTTAGGAGAGTTAAAAAAAAAAAAATCATGTGTCACAGTGCCCAGATTTCCACATGGCAACAATTGGCTGGAATCGAGTAATGGATGCCTTCTATGAATACCATTACTCCCTATCGTCTCCCCTCCTGTTTTGCTCAAGATGGTATCCTGGTCCCCATAGGTACTGGAATTTGTTACCACTGCCTTATCAGAAAGATATGAAAATTACGCAATATCTAAGGGCTACAAGACCATCCAAAATATGAGTTTACCCAAACTTGTTTTTAGAGGGTGTAAGAGGTTCTGGACTTAAATCTTTAAAATGATACAGCTTTCATTCCAATTGCCATTCATTTCTCCTCCTTATTTGCAGGGAATTTTGTCAATCTTATTAATTATCACCATAGCAGAGCTTGGCATCTCTGTGACTATCGCATCCTTCAGAAGCAAGTTATGGACAAGTTCAGATGAGGTGCGTTTAATGTTGTTGTGTGAACAGAGTCCTGTGGGGACACTCTAAGGTGACTTCTGGTCGACTGGTGAGCAGTGTAGAGCTCAGATGCTGAACTGAAACTTGTGAATTTGGGAAGATCAGTGAGGGACAACCTTAGGATTGAAAGGCACCCCCACCTTGAGGATGGCTCTGCTTTCCCTTCTTTCCCTATCTGCTATTCTGTCATTTCTGCTCATACACAGTTCCTTATCTTCCTGCCAAAACATATGAAATGTCAGACTTCATGGGAACCCATATTACTGGGATACAGAAAGCTTACACTTGGTAATAAGAAGGTATGAGACCATTCTCTCGCCAGAGAAGAAGTGGAAAAAAAAATATCGATAGCATTACCATTTATCATCATCATCATATTGACTAAATGTTTAATATGTCAGTCATTATCGTAATCACTGGGCATCAACTTAATTTTACTAACACCATGAGAACACCTTAACATTTGAAGGAACCAAGGTACCAAGAGGTTAAATAACCTCTCCAGGATCACAGAACTTCGAAAGAGTCTGGCTCGGGGATTCAGCTCCACAGCCCACTCTCTAGGTTATAAATACCAGTCCAGGCTCTGTGTTTGGCAGGATTTTTTCTGTTGTTTTTTTTTAAATCAACTCCATGGCAGTAGAATCTACAAAGATTATTCAGTGATCTTTGACAAACTGTATACACCTGTGTTGCTGCCATCACAATCAAGACAGTGCAATCCTTTCTGCCTAAAAGTTTTACTTTTTGAAACTTTTGCAGTCGATGTCCTCAGCACCTAGATTAGTTATGAGGTTCCCAAATGTCATAGACATGAGAGCTCAGAGAACTTTCTCTGGCTGGCTGCTCTCACACAGAAACATGCTTTTGAGATTCATCTATGCTGTTGCATCCATTGAAACCTTGGGTATATCCAAATTTGTTCATTTACCTTTGTGTGGGGAGTGTACTGGGGATTGAACTCGGGGGCACTCAACTAATGAGCCAGATCCTCAGTCCTATTTTGTATTTTATTTAGAGACAGGGTCTCACTGAGTTGCTTAGGTTTGCCTCACTTTTGCTGAAGCTGGCATTGAACTCGAGATCCTCCTGTCTCAGCCTCCTGAGTAGCTGGGATTACAGGCATGCACCACCATGCCGGGCTTGTTCATTTACCTTTGATAGATATTTGGATTGTTTAAGGTTTTAAACTATTATATCAATCAATTGCTATGAAGATTTGCATTCACATCTATATGAACATATAATTTCACTTCTCTTAGAGTTTCATACCCAGGATTTGAAAGAAAGTAAGAAGATGACTAACACCTCTCCAAAACAATTGTACCATTTTTTCATTAGCAATACATGATAGGTGGAGTTGCTCCCTATCATTACAAACACTTGAATTTGTCAGTAGTACTAATAATTTGGCTAGTCTAGTGGGTTTAACATGCCAGTGCTATGATTTTTCACAGCCTGTTGCTTGCCTTTTATCTTTTTAATGTTTTCTTCCAAAGAAAATGTGATAAAGTTCAATTTAACATTTATTTTTCTGCTTAGTCTTTTTTGTGTTGTAACAAATACATGATAAAACTTTCTTTTGTATTTTCTTATAGGAGTTTTTGTTTCAGCCTTTATGTTTAGGTCTATGATGCATTTGAGTTGACTTATGTGTCCAGTTGTGAGGTAATGGTAGAATTAATGCATACACCCCCTCATGGAGTTATCCAGTTGTTCTAACATCATTTTTTTTGAAAATGCAATTCTTTCTCTCCATTACTTTGGTCCCTTTGTTGAAAACTGACCACTTACTCAATAGGTCTCTTTGGGAGTTCATTTTTTTCCCACAGGTCAATATGTTTATGCTTCTAGGCATTACACACTGTCTTTTATATATATATATATATATATATATATATATATATATATATACACACACACACACACACATACTATCTCAATTTCTAGAACTTTAGAATAATTTTTATCATGGTAAAATATACATTACATAATGTTATTTAAATCATTTGTAAGTCTACAATTCAAGGCATTAAATGTATTCATAACACTGTATGACCCTCAGCATTTCCTATCCCCAAAACTTTTTCATCATTCCACACACAAACACACTAGCTTTAAATCCCTCCTCTTCCCCTCCCCTCTATGTCTTGGTAATCTCTGTTTTATCTTCTGGATACCTCATGTAAGTGGAATCATGCAACATTTATCCTCCTGCATCTGGCCTAATTGACTACACAAGTATAATGTTTTCAAGGTTCAGCCATGTTGTAATACATATGGAAAATTTCATTCCTTTTATGGCTGAGTAAAATCCCATCGTGCATATATAACAAATTTTGTTCAGCCATTCATCTGTTGAAAGACACATTTTTCCTGGTGTAAATAATGCGCTATGAACATTAGTGTACAAATATCAGCCTAACTCCATGCTTTGGAGATAGACTTAAGAATAGAATTGCTGGGTCATATGGTAGCTCTATGTTTAAACTTTTGAGAAAGTGCTCAACTATTTCCCACAGTGGTTGTTCCATTTTACATTCCCATCAGCAGTACACAAGGATTCCAGTCACTCCTAATTTCACCAACACTGGTTATTTTTTGTTTATTTGTCTTTATAATAGCCATCCTAATGGGTGTGAAGTGGTATCTCACTATGGTTTTGATTTGCATGTCCTTAATAACTTGTGATTTTAAGCAAAATTTCATGTTTATTGGCTGTGTACAGATTTTCTTTGGAGAAAAATCTCTTATAGCAAATTTTCCATTTTTTCATTGAATTGTTTGCTTTTGTTGTTATTGAATGGTATTGTTCTTTATATGTTCTTACTATAAATTTCTTATTAGATATATGATTTTCATTTTTTTCTATATTTTAATTTTTTTTAGTTGTAGTTGAATGCAATATCTTTATTCTATTTTTTTTTTTTAATGTGGTGCTGAGGATTGAACCCAGGGCCTTGCATGTGCTAGGCAAGTGCTTTACCAGGCAACAACTCCAGCCCTGATTTTTAAATATTTTACCTCATTTTCTAGCCTTTTTATTTTTATTTTTACTTTTTTTTTTTTTTTTTGGTACTGGGAATTGAACTCTGGGGCACTTGGCCACTGAGCCACATCCCCGGCCCTATTTTGTATTTTATTTAGAATCAGGGTCGCCCTGAGGTTGCTTAGCACCTTGATGAGGCTGGCTTTGAACTCATAATCCTCCTGCCTCAGCCTTCCAAGACACTGGGATTATAGGCATGCACCACCATGCCTGGCTATTTTTTACTTTCTTGACAGTAATCTCTGATGCACAAAATTATTGATTTTCACAAAATATGATTTATCTATTCTTGTGTTCATGGTGTTGGTGTCATATCCATGAGATCACTGCCAAATCCAAACTCATGAATATTTCTCCCAAGTTTTTCTTATTTGAATTTTATAAGTTTCACTCCTAAGTTTAGTCTTTGATCCATTTGGAGTTAATTTTTATGCATGTTGTTTGTTTAATTCATTCTTTTGCTTATCGATGTCCAGTTTTCCCAGCACTGTTTGTTAAAAAAGACTATCTTTTCCCTCCATGGAATGATTTTGGCGTTCTTTTTGAAAATGAATTGGTCATATTTGCAGTGGTTTCTCTCTTCAGTCCATTGCTGCCATGTGTGGGTTTACAACTGTGTGTCACTAGTCTTGGGAAATAAAGATAATAACCTCCTAGGGATGTTATAATGATGACTTCAGATGACTTTAGAACTTCCTCTAGTGCTTTGATCATCACTTAGTTATGCTTAAGAATGAGTCAATTTTAAATCATAACACTTAAGTGCTTGAATACATGGGATATTATAGTTCATGTCTCCAAAACTTTCTTTCAGCAAATTAAACAAAAATCTAGGTGGAGATTAATAAAAATACAGAAATCCCATGTATCCTCATATAAATAGCGTGCTAATAGAGATAAAATTAAAATGTAGAAAACAAATTGGGAGGATGGGTACTAGGAATGTATAGAGTAAGAGAATGTATCAATTCTCATTCTTGGTCTACCATTAACCAACTAGGCCAACGTAACTCATTTAATCACTGAGCTCCAATCACTTCTTCATAGAACAAGTAGTCTATTCTGACTCCATGAACAACCTCAGAATGGGAACAGGCTGATAAAAATCAGCAGGCCAGGTTGCAATGACAATTCCATCATCATCATAAGAAGTCGCAGCATATCATTGCAGAAAAGAATGGGAAGCACTGATCAAAGGTTGTATCAGGCGGTGTCACATAGCTGTTTAAAAAACTCCAGTAGATCTCTCAACAAGAGCAATGTATATACAGACAACATATATACAAATCCTAATTCTCTAGCCTAGCACACCATCTGACAATATCTACCTGCCTCCCACATGCCATCACACCGTGCTCTGTCCCAACCTTCTGTTTTCATTATTTGTATGATCTGGATTTTGTCTCCTGTCTATCTGTTGCTTGAGGAATCTCTACTCATCTGTCAAGATGTAGATTAAATATCACCTCTTTTATGAAGCATGCACTTATTCTCTCAGAATTAGGTCATCGTCTATGTTCTCATAAAGCACCAAGAGTCTACGGCCATACCACCCTGAACGCGCCCGATCTCGTCTCATAAAGCACCAAGTGTCTATTTCTATAATAATAGCACTTGCTGAATGGTTTTATTGTTATCTACTTATATGTTGTTCTACCTACAATTGTGAGCACCTTAAGGGCAAAACTCACGTTTAGTCATTTTGATGGATAGCATCTAGTTCACCCATATGACCAATAAATCTTTATAGATTAAATCTTTATATGTGAATATTGACGAGGTGATTTAAAATGTCTTAGAAGTTTGTAATATCAAGGATGGGGAAAATATTTGAAGCAATCTTAGTCAAATGGCCTGGTTCAGTATTTGAGATAATAAGGGGTTATCACTGTCCAAAACAATACTAATAAGTTGATGGTAAAGGTGGGTGGGTATTTGTTTGATGACTCCTCGTTCAGATGTAATTTCCAACCTAACATCTTAAGTCAGAGATGAAAGATAATTTAGAATGCCAAAATAAAATAACACCAAAGATGATTCTGTCTTATTAATGCTGCCAACTCCCCTTGGTTTTATAGGTTGTGTTTTTCTTACCTTCAGATGTTACTCCAAATAGTGAACAACTTGACCCAGAAGAAAATACTGTATTACAATTTGAGCTTCAAGAAGAATCTCCTAGGATTGATAGGACATTAAACAGACAAACTGTTTTTATTGGAGGCTATTCTTTCTTCAAGTTAAGGGTTTTAAAAAGTCCTTTAGTCCACCATTGCATGTTACCAACATGTAATAAGTACAAGGGTAGTAAGAGCACATCCTCTGCACCTATTCCAGAGGAGGATAATCTGAATGATCAAGACATGCAATATGTTATGACACAATCCACCCAAACAGAAACTCAGTTACCTCAGAAAAAAGCCTTACCCACCAAAGATTTTCTAGCCCTGCCCGTGCAAACAGTCCAAGCTTTGCCTGCTGATGACTTGCCATCTCAGGCTCTACTAATAGAAGCCCCTCCTGAGCCAGTTATGCTATATGCAACCCCACCATCACATATCAGCCAATCTCTCGATCTGACATTTGAAGACATGCCCTCTCAAGATGTGCTCACCGAAGAAAGACCATCCCAAGACACAATTTTCCAAGAGATAACATCCACACAAACAACATCGCAAGACATGGTCTACAATGCTCTGTCAGCGCAAGCCACCCCATCCTACTCCATAAGGTCCTCTAAGATAAAACAGCCATCCCAAGATCTTGAACCACAAGGCATTCCCCCTCAACGCCAGCAATCTTTAGAAATGCTATATAGAGACATTCGAGCAGAAGTCATGGAACAGACCCGGGAATGGAAATCTCAGGACCAACACCCAAGACACTTTTTCTCATTCCATAAACCCAAAGATGGGAAGCACCGAAAGAGATTTTCCTTAGAACTTTCAGGAAAAAGCAAGCAATCCCCAAGGAGATATTCTTTAGACCTACAAAGCAAAGGTAGACAGCCTCTAAAACGGAAATCCCTAGACCAGAAAATCAAAGCCTGGCTATCTGCAAGGAGGCAGTCTCTAAAAAAGCAAGCTAAATATACCCAAACCACAGAACAATTCTCAGAGGAGTCAGCTGAACATCTTCAGACAGAAGGGAAGCCATTCCCGAAGGAACAATCCAAACATAGAGAAGATAAAGAACAGCAGGTGGCTATGGAGCAAATCCCTAAGAAACAAACTCAAGTCAAACAAGCTGAAGATCAGCAGGTTCAAGAGGAAGAATCCCCAAAGGTACAATCTCAAAATAGGCAAGCTAATACCCAGAAAGTTCAAATAAGGAAACCTTTAAAGCAGATGTACCAAGATTCGGACACCTCAAGCCAGGAACACAAAGATGGGCAATTCCTCCCAAAGCCATCTCTGCAATGTAGAAAACAGAATTGGCAAAACTTTAACCATCAATCTGAAGACTGGAGAGGTCAAGGTAGGAGAAACAAAGATTGGATAACACGAGACTGGCAATCAGAAAAGCAGCATGCCCTACACCAGAAGACCCTAGAGATTTTAGAGAAACCATCTCTAAAACAGAAAGGTCTGTGCCAGGAAATCCCATCCCAGGGCACTCCAGCCCAATATAACCTAAGCAGGCAATTTCAAGGTAAAGACCAAAAAGAGACTCAGTCCAAAGTTGCACTAAAAGAAGATAAGCCAATAAAAGACATCAAAGAAGGGAAACCAACGAATCTGCAACTAGAAGAAATGAACCCAGATTTCCAACCTTCTTCTAGCCACAGTTTAGTACAAGACACAGATTTAAACTATTTGTCCAACATAGATTCAGAACAAGAGGTACAGCATTATGCTTCAGCTAGCTCAAACTCATACAAAGATTTGAATATAACTTCTAGCTCATGTTGGTCAGAAGATCAACCGCAATCTGAAGAGTCTGACTAACAGGCAGAATCTACCCAACTATCACACTGCCCCCAATAAGAGAAGCTAAATGAAGGAGAACAACAGAGTCTTTCCTATGTTCCCAACTGTGGTCGCCATCTAATTCGCTCACCAGAAGATGAAGAGCACGCAGAAAACTCCAAAGAATTCATTCTTATTAGAATAAAATGACAACAAATGACATGTTAATACTATATCAGAATTTTCTGGGAGTGAAGGAATAAATTGCATGTCAACTTTTGTCGTCATATTTAGTGTTTCAATTTAAAATCGCCAATTCATTTTAGAACTTAACACTTAATAGACTACTTTCCTGCGGAGCCAACATTTTTTAGCCTCCTCCTTTGTGTCCTAGAGAGAGTCAGAAAGTCAACTAGAAAGAAGTTTTCAGGATCTAGAGGTGTTCAAGAATCAGAAGAGTCAGGAATAAAACTCACCCCCATCCTTCCTGTTTTGGTGTTTCCGGTTCTCCCATTTATTCTCCTTCCCTGAACTTGTGTCAAGGATATAGTCCCTAGGTTGACTCAGTGTTCAACCAGATGGAAGGTGACAATTAAGACAGGATGTGTGGAGGGGGGTGAACAACACACACCTAGAGACAGGAAGGTAGGGGTAAGGGAAGGGCAGAGGTACAGCTGTGATAAAATACAATCACCTGTAATGTCCTGAGTGTTGCTCTAGGTCCCTTTCATACACCTGTATTCACTCCTAATTTCTCAGCCCAACATAATTTCATTTCTGTGAAGATATTGTTATCAAAAGCCATCAATTATCCTCCATTTTTTTCTCTTTCCTCCTCTCAGATCTACCTGCCCTTTCCAATAAATATCTGGAAATATCCAGAGATTTGCCAGGTTGTATCATTATCATTCAGAGGAGAAGATCTAGATTTATTTGTAATTTAAATTAAAAAAAAAACCTAGAGGATTTGGGGACTCCTAAGCAAGTGACAGTCGGTCCTCCAGAACTCTTCAGTATGGAGATGGATCTTTTTAAAGGGGATATCTTTTGCAAAACAGAGAAAGATGAGAAACTTAAAAAAAATGAACTCCAGCTGCAGTAAGATAGGAGAGAAAGAATACAAAGAGCCTTTCTTGGAACTATGAGAAAGACTAATTTGGTTGACTGTGAATCAGAGACTGTGGTCTGATCATTTGGGACATCATAACTTCCCTAGAATAGCTAGTAGTAAGAAGCTTGAAATAAAACCTTGATTTGGGAACTTTTTAAAAGAAATACAAAGATATTTTACACTTTTCCATAAACCACCTTCAGAGTAGAGTAATACCCATATAAAGAGTAGGTTTTGGAAAGTTGGAAAATAAGAAGGAACCTAAGGATTTAGGAATAAAGATAAATAGTAAACAAATTCATGTCATCCATTTGTAAACACATCTAAGGTTTCATTAGCAGAAGCCTATAGAGTTTCACAGTCAAATAGAAAAATGGGGTAAAATAGCTTCTAGGCTGGCATAGCAATATTTTCAATGTCCTTATGGTTAAGTTCCTGGAAATACCTGTAGCTGATAAAAGAAACCAACCCAAATGAACTTTGGAAGTATAAAGAAAGATGAAGTATTTGGCCACTAGGATTAGAATGGTAATAATAGAAATAATACTTATTGTTTTATTTTTATTTTAGTAGAATTTATTTAGCATCTACTATAGTCCAAGTACTTTATCATTCACTCAGAATAACCTTATAAGACAATTATTATTCCATATAAGAAATTTAACAGGTAATATATACATAAGTTAATATCAATATGCAAGTTCATAGATAACTTAGCCTAAATACTATAACTAGAAAATAAAAGGACTTGGAATTGTGTCTAGACTTTTCTTTTTTACTCCCAAATTTGAGTCTTACTGCATCACCAGAATTGGCCTGTATGAATTAAAACATAATAAATAAGCTATCTTTCTTCATTTGTCAGATACTATGAGAATGTTATTCTAGTCATCATGCTTAGGGAGGGGGGAAAATAAACCAGAAAACGTCTAAAGTGTTGTGGGGCAAGTGTCTCAGAAAACACACCAAGTCCCACTTTTGTCCAAATTAAAGAGTATTTATTTCGACCAGCCAGGACTGCTTCCTACAGGACCAAATTGTCGCTGCAGAAAACAGTCTGGGGCGTCAACATTTTAGGGTATTTAAAGGCAAAAACCACATCAGGGTTGGCATACCTGCAAGCAAGCAGTACAGAAGCAGAATGGTGCAGTTAGCAAAACAAAGCAATGGATACATTGGCATTTCCCACGGGACTTTCCAGATTGGCATAGCAGCAAACATGCAGAAGGGAAGTAGGTCAAGATGACCCTAGTTGAGGACAAATTAGAGAATGGTTACTAATGTGTAGACAACCAATCTCTGACAGGGTACATTATCCAAGAAAAATGGGAACCAAAGAGAGAACAATTTTACATTGTATAAAAATTGCCATTTTGTGTTGCCAAGTATGCTATGGTATGTAACTATTAGTGGGTACAAAGATGGGGTTTTCCCATGGAAGAAGTATTCCTGACATGATATGGAGTCTCAGGGTAAAATGGAGTCTGTTTGGTCATTGCCCATATAGCCTGGCCGATAACAGAGTACAGCTAAGCCATGGGTAGTAAGGGTAAAATAATACCTTATGAAGTGTTTTGGAGGACAGTTTGCTAAACTCAGAGAATACTAACCTAGCATCAGGTAGTTTTATGAAAGATCGTTGCCAGGAGGATTCTATGTCCATGGAAAATTGAGTGAGTAAAGGGTAAATTCAAAGAAAAGAAATTTTAAGGGAATGAGCAGTGTTTACAAATGTTCTCACTGGTAAGTGCCTAGAAGTTGATCACATTGGTGACAGTAGGAAATTCAAATAAAGATCTGATCTCTATGGGAAATACCAGAGATGACAAGACAGAATGTAAAAACAAACAAACAAAAAATTTCCTTTTATTTTATCCATATCCCTGCAATTTGACAGTGCAGATCCTTCCACACAGACATGGAGTCTATGTCCTTACATTTGAACCTGGACTATCTACACAGTTGTGTAGGCCGAGGGAACACTAGCATATGACTCAGATGAAAAGCATCTGTGAATTGGAAGAGAACCAGGAGTCTGCTGACTGTCCGACACATGACCGAGGATATCCTAATTCATCCAACTCTGGACACTCCATCAGTTGACAACTCAAGTGTGAGAGAAGTTGGTAGAGATGAGCCGAGTTTGAACAGGACTAGAATAACCAACTGTATGGCTCATAGAAGTGTCAATGAAGTAACAATAGTAGTTGTTGGAAGCCACTAGGTTTGGGGTAGACTTTTACCCAGGGAAAGCTACTAAAATCAGGTGAAAAAAAGAAAAACAGTGATAGGCTACAAGGATGCTATGTGTGTTCCCCAAATTGGCTAATTAGATCTATAGCCTATGAGACTTGGTCCTCCACCTGCATGAATATAGAAAATGAGAAATTTATTCTAGTTGCCATTTAGTTGGGAACTAAGATGTCTTTATAGGTCATCTAGTCTGATCTGGTCTAGAGAAACATGAGAAAGCTGAGATCAGCATAGGGGGATATGACTTTTCCATGGTGACATGTGTTTCTGATCAAACCAAGACTACTAGTGAATTCCTCGGATCCACAGTCCTGGGCAGCTTACTTTCTAACTTTCTTGGGATCTTGCCCAGTCCTGAGATTCTATGACTCTGTGACTCTATGATTCTATAATTCCAAATCCAAGTAAACAATGCCAGCGCTCCAGACAGGCCTGGAACAGGAAAAGAACATGGTCTAGACTGAAAGACCAACTAAAATATTTTTTTTCATTTGAAAACACCAACAGTACCATCATGAACTCAAGGGATACACACAGTCCTGTGTTTCTGGTATTTCCTCCAGAGATCAACCAACCAGAATATCATGAAAATGTCCTCTCAGCTACCACCTATGCATCTCAAAACCTCTTGCAGAAATTACTTACTTCAAAACTGAAGATCTTAGGGGTAAGACTTGCCTCTCTGTGTGTATTCTACTAAAGGGGCAGAGGGAAAGAATAGAAATATCTGGTGGCACATGTTTTAAGGTAGGAGTCAATTCCAAATTTTATTTCCACTCAATTCAGAGAGTATGAATTACATTTCTATACCAATACGCATGAGATTCTGCAAAGAGGAGAACACAAGATGAATAAGTCAAGGTCCCTAGGCTCTTGAAATGCACATTCTCCATACTGACCAACTATTAAATTTTTCTAGTTGATTTCTGAGAGAAGAAATGGGAAAGAAAATCAACAAAAAGTCAACAGGACAGAGTCTATGTCTTGGATTATTGCAATTTTCCCAGTTTTATATTTTTTCCAATCAAAAATCAGAATTCAAAGCCTGGCATGAAAATTACATGTATATTTGAATACAGCTGTTGCAGAATATCCTCTTAATACTATTAATACTCATCTCTCCATTCACCTAACTAACCCATGCCATAAATATTAATTTTCTTTCTTTTTTTAACCAATCCTTCTTTAGGACAATGTGAGGATTCAGTTATGTTTGAGATTATAATTTGTCCATATCTGAAAACATTTGTCCTCTCAGGCCTCATCCTCCAAGAATAAAAAAATAGAAATTAATTTTTCAGAAAAAATATAATAGAAAAGTAGAAAAAGATGGTCAAGTAAAATGAAGAAGAGAACCATCAATGTAAACTGCTTTAGGATCTATTCAATTATAATGAAGTCCAAAATTGTGCTAAACAATTCAAATTACTTTTCAATGGAGCATCTAATAGGAGCTATAAATGGTGGTAGTGATGGCGAGTCAGATAGAGAATAGTTACTTCCAACTAAAAGGACAAGACAATTTTATGGCCATTTTGGCATTTAACATGAACTCTAAAGAAGTAATGGAATTTCAACAAGTGGAAATAAAAAGAGAGGAAGGACGCAGGACAGTCTAAATGCGAAACACATCCTAAACAAATGCATATGGTAGCAGGTTAGGAATGGCAAAAGA